TTAGAGGAGATAACTTTTTTCCAAAATTTTGAGTTATCCCATCCCTCAATTCCTGTTCATAATTATAAAGAACTTTAAGTAATTACAACCTAATTCCTACATTTTGATTAATTAATACAACATTATTAAATTTAGTCTTAAGGTCTCTTCATACCCATGAACAAAGACCATATGGCCAAATTATGAGTGTTGATCCCCCTTCTTATTATTTTATACTTTTTCAAAATATTTGTTTTCAAGGTGACGGACGTATGACTATCTAGTAGTTTCTACGTTTTGCTGCTAGTTTTTTTTACCTTCAACCTTTCATATCAAGATTCAAGAGTTAGACCTCAATGAATGTCTAATAAAGAGAGTAAGGTAGCACCACATTTTGATATTTTCATGATAATTGTGCTATACTACTATTAGTGCATCTGTCATGTCTCTCGTGAGTTCAAATCCAGAAGCATTATTCGAAACAAAATTTCCCTTCAGTCTAGATAGATTACACCATGGGATTTCTCTCTATTTACAGGTGGAAACAGTTGACGACTATGATGAATATTGTCACTATGTAGCAGGACTCGTTGGGATGGGTTTATCCAAGCTTTTCCATGCCTCCGGTTTGGAAGATTTGGCTCCAGAATACCTCTCTAATTCAATGGGTTTGTTCCTTCAGGTAGCATAAAGTGGAATGCAGACAAGCAATATTTTTACTGTTCTTTGCATGCTTTTCAATTGAGAACCTTCTCAAATTGCAGAAAGCAAATATTATCCGAGATTACCTAGAAGACATCAATGAGATCCCAAAGTCACGCATGTTGTGGCCTCGGCAGATCTGGAGTAAATATGTTATCAAACTTGAGGTTTGCATCTTTAAGAATCTGTTCTTACTCACCTTTCATTATCTATCTTTCACTCCATGATTCTTGGCTGAATTTGTACGAGTTGATGGATGTTATGATGGCAGAAACAACTTCGCTGTCTCATTTTACTTGTATGCATATAATGTATTTTTCCCCCTTCTAAGTTGCACGTGTATAACTTTGTCTTTATCCAATTTAATTTTGTGGTCCAGGACTTGAAAGAAGAAGACGATTCTGTCAAGGCAGTGCAATGCCTCAACGACATGGTCACCAATGCATTGGCGCATGTTGAAGATTGTTTATTGTACATGTCTAACTTAAGAGACTTAACTATATTTCGTTTTTGTGCTATTCCGCAGGTGCTGTTCTTTTCCTCAACGACCTCTAGCTTAATTTTTAATTTCCACTGTCATCATTGATACAATGGTCATTTATTAATCGTCAGCAAGGTTTTTGCTTCAATAGATGTTATGCTTATATGTCATCCTGTTCTATTGCCAAGTCCTGTGAGTAATGGCCTCATACTCAATGTCAAGTAAAATAATTTAAATTTTTGCAACGGTCGATGAGTTTCTTTAAAGTTTTGATTTTGCCAAAAAGATCTGATGATTCTAATATATACTTTACATGCTTTGGGTGTTTTTGCTACATGTCATGATCAATGATATTGTGGTAAAAAAATCTCTATATGGCTCGATTAACTTGGTAAAATTGCAGATATCGAATACCCATTGGTGAATTAAAAAATTTAATAGTATCCAAAATAAGATTTAATGTTCTTCCTGGTTGTTGTGATGTAGAAACTAAAGAAGCTAAGCTTCTCAGGTTCAGGTCTCGGACCCTGGACTCCTATTTTCAACTAAATGAAGTCTTAGTACTTCTCTTAATCTCTTCAGGCTTTGCTAAGTTTCAGTTCATTTCCTTGTTGGCTTCTACTTCTATAGTCTCCCCTGTTGTTTTTATGCACCATATCTTCCAAAATCCATGTCTGTAGCTGTAGTTATTTTTAAACTAATATTTGATTGGTGTAACTTGGCTGCTTGACATGTTCTGCAACAGATCATGGCCATTGGGACTCTTGCATTATGCTACAACAACATTGAAGTCTTCAGAGGTGTAGTTAAAATGAGGCGTGGTAAGATGATGTATCTTGAGATACTAAGTGCAAAGCATCTAAGCTTTAAGGAATGTTAGGCACAGAACTACTTTTAATGGAAATGTGTGTGGAAGTCACATGAATTTTGAATTGCTGCATGCAGCATTCAATACTAGCTCATTTGGCAAAAAGTAACTTGGCAAAAATTTTCTAACGGGAAATTAGATATATTGTGCTAAACAATAGGATCATATATTGAGCAAACTCAATGTCGTTACACATGCTGCATTGGTGCTATTGGATTCTCTGGTTACAACTAAGAGCACACACATGTTGCTTCGTCCTCTAGTAGAAGTTGTTACGGTAATTAAAGAGTGGTTTGGATGTGGCTTGTGATGGTTTCTAATTTTTCACTTCGTAAACACTGCTATAATCAAGATTTTTATTGGTTCCCACCTGTTTCTTGAGAGAAAATGTATAAGGCTACATATATAATGTGATAATGGTGTACTAAGTTGATAAAGCACTGTAGTGCTAGACAGTAGACAATCTATTTAGCTGACCTCACTTAATGGGATGTGGCTTGTTATTGTTTGTTTTCTTGTTTGTTGGATGTGCTAAGTTGTTCTCATTATTATGTTTGTGATTTATAGGTCTAACTGCCAAGGTGATTGATCGGACAAAGACAATGTCAGATGTCTATGGTGCTTTCTTTGACTTTTCTTGTATGTTAGAGTCCAAGGTATGCTGTATTCTAAAGTATGGTTACTCTTGCAAGTTATACATAATTTGCTTATATTACTATTGTTTCACAGTTGGTAATGCTATCATTTATGTTAATAAAACAAACATGAATATTGCGAAAATAAGATTTTGGGAATAAGAGTTGCTGATGCTGAGAAAGCCTTCTATACCCAGTGTCATTGAAATAAGACACGTGTTAGTCCTCATTAGCCATGACAACCAATAAGCCATGGCTATTTTGAAATGTAAAACGAAAAAAAATGAGAAATTGATCTTTAAATTTTAGTCTTTGATACTATCTCTGATCCTAAATATAAAAGCTAATTGGCGATCCTAAAATATAAGACCTTAATTCACTTTATCTCTCAAATTTATAATGTGTTCTAAAAAATATCCCTATTGATTATAAGGTATTTTCACTAGGTGTAGTTTCAATGTAAATGATTGGATAAGGGTAATTTAAGAAAGTCAACACACATTTGTTACAAATAACTAACTTTCTTAATCTCTCCAAATTAGTTATCTAGCTTTTATATTAAAGACTAGAGGTAGTATTTTAGAAGACGAGTGAAAACTTAAAGGCTGTGAATAGGCTTTGGTTTGATTGTAGAGTCTTTCTGGTAGGATCCAAGATAGGTAAGAAAGGAAGGAAGAAAGAAGAAAACTTTTTTATTAAAAAAAGGAAATCAGAATGTAACTTCTCAAATTAATTGAGATGGAGGAAAATCTTTAGTTGAAGACGAGCAAAGATCTTAAACTCATACAACTAATAAAACCTAATGAGAATCTCCACTAATAAAAACAAAACATTGATTTTTTTTGAAGATGATTTCTACATGCCCCTTCTTTCCATAGCCACTTACAGAAAGGAAGAGTTGAGTACCGGAAAGTTTGAAATGCAGATATTAGATAGTATTGTGGTCGTCTTTATTCTGTAGCACAATCCTCCATGGCACTAAATCTATTTTTTAAGTTATTAAAGCTTTTCTTTCCAACTTAAAAAATCTATTATTTTTCTCTCATAGGTTGACAAGAATGATCCCAATGCAAGAAAAACATTGAGCAGGGTAGAAGCTATACAAAAGGCTTGCAGAGAATCTGGTCTCCTAAGTAAAAGGCATGCAGATCATATCCATGTAGCTTCTGAGGTATGTTTCAGTTTCGCCAGTGATATTCTGACAGGTTTTGCATTTATTTCACCAGGAAATCTTATATTGTGAAGAACGAGCCTGGATATAACTCAGCCACGGTAAATTTGTCTGCTTGTTTTTTTTTTTTTGGGTAGAACTTGATGCTACATATGTAAATTATGTACTGATTTTTGAGTGTTTCTGCAGTTTCTGATACTCATTCTCGCACTGGCTCTCATTTTCGCATATCTCTCCGCCAACCGTGATAACTGATGTAAGTTAGGGTAAATTATATCTAAGGCCCAAGATTTGGCTCCGCATAAGTTGTCACTCTGGTTTCAAATGTTCCATTCAACCCCTTAATTAGTTTCTTCGATTATTAGTATGTTATTTTCATTCCCAGTGGTAGTATGGAATAAATGATTTCATAAATATTAAAATGTTTTATTAATGAAAGTGTATTTTACTTGTATCTCAAATGGTCGTTTTTTGATAATGCAAATGAAAAATTGTTCTAATATTTTTCGTAACTAATTAAAATTTAAACGTAAAAACGAAACATCGTGGGGGATTAAGTGATTTGGGAACAAACTGCAGGTACGGAATAAAACCAGGGGAGAACAGTAATTTGTCTTGTCCAATTCCTCTAATTTTTGTGTTTTTGCCCCTTCCAGCTAGCGTGAGATAGCAATGTTACAGTGCTGGGTTGATTTATTATCCATAATGTGGATGTTCAAGATCATAAGGAGGATGGCTGGTGTTGGTTGTGCTATATTTTGTGCGGAAGAGGTGACGTGTCCAGGAAGTCAGATGTGGTTACTGTGTCAGGCTGTAGCTTCCTGCGTTGTATTTTTGCTTTACCCTACTGCCACCCATAGAATTGTCGTTTACATGGCGCACTGTTATTGGCTGTTACACACAATAACAGTAATCAAGTTGCCACCGGTGAACCTTTATTGTGGAAATGACTGTTAATTTGTGGTTGGGTACTTGGCCATAAAGCCATCAAAAGATTTGGGATTATAAGAAGCCATGATGTTAAGAAGTAGAAAGGATTTTCTTTCTGCTTATATGAAAATATGTTGGTGTTCATTATATCTTTATTATCATTATATCTCCATGAAAATATGTTGATATTCATTATATCTATTATGTTTTAGTAATTTTACAGAGTTTATGGAATAGCAGTAGAAAAAACTCTCAAAATTTACGGGGCAAGAAGCCAACCCAATAACAGAAGTTAGAATAGTACAGCCACCTTGCTTGCAAGAACCCTTTCCCTTCTCTCAATGTAACCAAAAGGAAACCAACCTGCTTTACCTTTGCACTCACCCTCAGCCCACCCATTGCTTGTTACCTGCTGATACCAAAATAAGCATATTACGACCAATTTGAAATGCAGAAGGATTGTCAGGGTAAAGTGATCTGTTTCTACCCGAGAAAAGGTTCATTAATGTTTTAGAGGGTCTGATCAATTTTTTCACCCAGACTCAGCAACTCCCAGATTTTATCCAAATCTACAATCTCTCCATATTAGTGTGAGGGCCCTCTTCCCAGCACATTTAGAATTGTAGCCCCCGAGTCCTCCCCAGAAAACTACACCAAGCAGTTATTTAATACTCCTCCGGTCCTTATTATAAGACCCAATTTGACTTTTTATTTGGTCCTAATTATAAGACCCAATCCATTTTGTCTCTTATATTTATACATTTTTTTCAAGATAATCCTTCTAATAATGATAGTTTTAGCCAATATACTTAATTAGCAAGGATATTTTAGAAATGACAACACTTATTTATTATAAATAACCAACTTAACTTACTTCCTTAATCTCCTCAAATAAGTCAATTGGGTCTTATAATTAGGACCGGAGGAGTAAGAGATACCAACCCTTAGAGAACCCTGACGGATCCCCAAAATTTTATGGTTGGGTAACACCAAAACATTTCAGGACAGATACACTCTCGCTCTTTTTGGAATAAAAAAAAAAAAAGAAGCTACAGAAGGATACTAACCTTCCGAACAACAACATAATCACCAACTGACAGATTTAACTCCACATCAGAGACAGCATTGTATGGAAACATAGCCTGCAAGAGTAAAAAAACACAACAGAAAGAAAAACCAGTCACCTTTGCGAATCAGTAAATATATGCACCAGATGTAGTCTCCAACTAACCTCTCCTAAGAAGTAACCCATGCTATCTGTTGATCCATCGGGTGTTTGAGGAGCATAGACACCATTTGCTTCTTCATATGATGGGGGTGGAGGCATGCTGTCTTCCATGCTAGGAGCAGAAGGGGCTTCAATACGCTGCCGTTCTGATATCATCTATCATTAAATATACATATAACAGATAATCATGTGTTGATACCAAAAGAAATTGTGGCCCAACTGTTTGATTGCAAGTTTAACTTTGCTAGGGAGAATAGAATGATAAAAAGGCCAAGAGTTGTGATTACTTACCTCTCCCTCAAGCTGATCAAGTATTTGGAGAACTCTGTGGTGATAGGCACGCTCTGCTTCAACCTTGATGATAAGAAATAAAATGCTGGATTTAGTTGTGATTTATTCTTTTACTTCGGATGAAAAATTCATTAACAATGAATACATTTCCATCAAATGGTACCACTATATTACCATAGCTATAAGACGCTGAAGGGTCAGTCGCTGTTGCTGAGCTTCAACAGCAGCCATTGCGGCAGCTGCTTCCTTCCCCAGTATGGCCACGTTTGACTTCAGATCTTGAAGTTTTGCTTCAGCTGCTTCCAATTTCATGGTATTCTCAGCATTGCCTGGAGTTTCTCTCACTTTAGCCTGACGTTTGGAAACTTCAATTGCCTGCCAAGATTCAAAGGATAGTGTAATTACATGTCAAAGAGAAGAAGAAGAAAACTAAATGAACAATTATTTTTGACCTAACCAGTATATAAAACCATGAATTCTGCATGTCCTTAAGCACCGGCGAAGTTAAAAGATATTTTTTCAATGCAAATTCAAATTCCTGGATACCTGGGCTTCAGCTTCCTGTCGCATTCTGTCATAACGTTGAGCAAGATGCCGAGCATCCTCCAAGGGAGCTCCCACCACCATTGCTCTAAGGGGCTCTGCAACCTAATCATGGAGCAAGATGTTGATCAATGAATTATGAGGCCTAACATATAAGATGACAAACTGCATATATTAACAACACAAGTGAGCACATAATATCGTAAGAAAGTCAAGCTTCTCTGGGTATAAAGAAGAATTGGATCAAGGGTGCAAGTAGTCTCCATATTCTTTTCCATTTGATAATGTTTAAAAATCTTTAAAGCAAATTTTAAACCCTATAACACCAATGACAAGGGTCAAAGGAATATATAATAGTTCCTGGTTTGTAGTTTCTTAGCAGAATAGGAAAATACAATATTATATATACGACAAACCACGAGTAAGACTGAGGTCTGCAGACAGGATAAAGGGGACCATGTAAACAAATGACCAGAAACTCCATTTCAAGGACTGACTATCACAGTGCTTCCAAAAGCATCAGTAATTTATATGAAAAGAAAGACTCCTTTGTTCCAATCAAGACAATAGATTGTCAAACCTGAGTGCCAAGTGCTTTCAGTAGGTTCCCGTGCTCCTTTTCCATTTGAGCACGAGCACGTGCATAACTTAGTGCAGCTTTTGATAATGTGTTACCACTGGTACATGTATTTTCTGAGCCATATTTCCTGCTATCCTCTGACAGCTTTGTTCCTGTGAAATAAGATGTGAATAAACTATATAAAACAATGCTAGGTAATGTAGATCCAATTGCATGAAAACTTCATAAAAAGCTTCACCAAGCAACAATATTTACCTATTTCAACTTGTTTAGATCCAGTAACAATATAACCTTCTACACCACGGACAATATCCCTTTGATAATGCTGAAGAATAAAAAGAAACTATCATTAGTCAAGGAAGTAAAAAGGAAACTGAGATGGAAAATGAAGAATATATAAAATCAGAGTATGAGGACCATGTAACCTTTCCTGCACGTGTTGATATGTAAAGCTTTTCAAGTTTCTGATGTTGCTGAAGCTCCATCCCATCAGTGACCACACTATCTGAACCTCCATATGCCCCAGCCCCAAACTGTTTCAGAACAGCCTATAAAATAATAATAGTGATTAACACCTTCATAAATAAAGCACACAAAAATGTTGAACATATTAAGAAGGAAAATAGAAAAGTTAAGAAAGGAACATGGTCATCATAACAACTATACACGTATGCAAGGGTCAATAATTTTCCGACACATGGTTATGCCAATCAACATAATGAGAAAAAGGCAGCACATATGAAGAAGAAAATTGTCATAAAAATATATCAATGCCATCTGTTAAGTTAAATGTCTGGGTGTCTAGTTCTAAAACAAGAGTAAACGTTTCCTTGTACTTCAAATTTAACACATGCTACCTAACCTAGTTTGTAGTGCAATTTGCACTACAAACTAGGTCTTATATTTAGGACCAGAGGTAGTATTTCCTTACATGGCCAATCAAAGAGCATATAAAGTCCAGCCAAACATAACATTAGGTTTGGTACCAAGTCGTGGTTCCCTTGAATATACAAAAAATGAGGAGTCAACTCCATCAAACCTAGTGATGTTTGAATCACTGATTGATTCTAAAGATGACTTTACTCATGGTGGTTATCTCAATGCTTCCATGACAAAATTTGAAAGTCAAGTTCCAGTACATCTCCTTAGCAGTACTCATGGATACGAACATTTTTCTAATATGATGTCTATCCAGGTGATATTAAGAAAGTATTTGATGTTTCTAATCTGTGTGTCCCTCCAAACTATGATAAGAAATTGATCACTGAAGATGAAGGGGATTGCTTGTCATTCCACAAGTTTGAGTTTGAAAACTAAGAATGATGATGATAATACTGAGATAAAACGTTTTCCACATCCAGTTGACTTCTCATGCAAAAGTTTGTTAATATAATAATTGACGAGTGGAGAATCAGTTGCAGCAAAAATTATGTAAAAAAAGCTTAAAATTAAAAGCAGAGTCTACTAGGGGAAAAACTATTAGATTCATGAAAGAAACAAAGTAAAAGCAAATAAAAGATGCTTAGTTGAGTTTTTTATTCAAACGAATTATAAAGATGAGAATTTGTGTGATGTTACTCCAATGGATGTTTCTCATCTACATTTTGGTCAACCATGACATAACGTAGGAAGGTTGTTAGTGTTGATTTTAAAAGTTCCTGCTCTTTTGGTGGTGACAGAAAATTGTTGGCATAAAAGAAGTATTATACCAGAGAAAATAGAAGAGGTGCAAGTAGGGGAAGATTATTTATCCTCCAAAGCAAATTTTTCAATCGTGAGATATTTTCAATTCTAGTTCACTGCTTGCTCAGAACCTTAAAAGGCCTTTTCTACTTCTCTCTCACAAAAAATCTTCCATAGCCATTTGTCCATTTTCCAGATAATTCCTTCTGCCATTGAAATTATTCCACGCACCTCCTAAAAGGCCCCTGTAACTTAATATGCAAGCTACCTTCCCTCTTAATCGATCTTACAATGATCCAGAACAGTCCCTGGCATAAGACAAGCAATAACGAATGACCGAAACTTACGTTAAGTTTTTTAAACGTTTGATGAAATGCCGATATTCTTTTTAAGCTTAGCACTACTCAATGGATTTTCTCTCCATGTGCCGTATTTTTATCGTAAACCTCACCATAAGTTTTGTCCATAAACCATTTTACAATCCATCTGATCGAATTCCAACATCTGCGATGATTCTGAGTTTCTTGACCAAGTTAATGCATATGCAAGCAACAGTACCAGCTCAAAATTCAACTTCTTCTGTGAGAATAAACATTAACAAATGCTGCGGCCATTCTCAATTTACTTCAGCAATATAAGCGCACAACTTCGTGCGTCTTATAACTAACCAGAATCAATTTCATGCGAACCAAAAACAATAATCATCCAAACGAAGTTGCATCGCCAACGTTAAAACCTCAGAAAACAGAGTAGAATAAAATTTCATCAAGCGCATATCAAAGCATAGCAAACGAAAAAAAAAAAAAGAGCAAAATAAAATTACACAGGTAAAGAAATTTCATAAGAGGATAAAAGCGACCGAAAATATCTAAGATCTGAGGAGGAATCACACAATTGAGCGGGAGAGTGAGAGTTAGAGAGAGAGAGAGAGAGAACCTGTTGCTGCCGAGAGACCTGTTCTCGGAGCTTGTGGGCTTGCTTTCTGATGGCATCCATTTGCCCTGATGAAGAGATTGAAACTACCACCAGAAATCGATCTCAGAGCACCTCGCTCCAACACAAATCGTGTAAGAAAGTAAGGAAACACAGACACAGAGTCAGAGGATTTTCAAAATTGATTTGGCATTCGGTTCCTTCGTGGGGACAGCATAAAGCGTGCCTCAAAGCCTCCCTGTTGGGATGATTAACTTCGTCAAAGATTACTCCACTGTAATTTGAAATACAAATTGGTCTTTGAAAGGGTAATATATAAATCTTTAAAATTAAAATTCAATAAAAATATTAAAATGATATTTAAAATCCCTAATAACCAATATCAGTACCACTTGCAGCTACCTCCCATTATTATTATTATTATTATTAAGATTAAGATAAAAGTAGACCCCACACCACTGGTTTAATTTTACCTCTGATTTGTTAAATTTGATGTAATCTGACTCATTTTTCAATTTTTTTAATATCATTTCTGATACTAATTATAAGATCTTATTTATAAATAAGATCAATAAGATCTTATAATTAGGACCAAAAGTAGTATAATTGTAATTTCACAAGAGATAAATATGTAAAAAAAATTCAACTTAAATAATTAAATTGTATGTTATAAAAAAATTAAATTTCAAGCAATCTTATCCAATTATATAGGTTCCCAGTCAATTCTGAATATTAAGCATACCTCTAAAAGGGAATGGCCACCCACCAAACAGGATGTTAGCTAACCGTAGAAAAATTTTAAACTTAAAAATAATTATGAGTAAACTCAAATGTTTTTTTTCTGCGTCCTTATCTATTTCTTAATCTTAAAAAAATATATTTTTAATCTTTTAACTGTAAAATTATTAACAAAAAACAATATTAAAATCTTAAATATTGATAAAGCATTATTAGATGCTAATATATTAAGTTTAATTTTTAAAATAACTATAATGTTAAAAAAATTATTGAAGTTTAACGATCATAGAATTAAAGCACTAAAGATATAATTTTTAAATTTAAGAGATTAAACTGAAATATTGTGCAAAATTAAAGAATTAAATGTATAGGAGGGATTTTACCGAGAAAAAACAATGGAGTTTACATCACCAAGCGCTAGTCTCGTCATAAACAGGAAAGTCAACGCAATAGAAAAAGAGTCGTTGAAGATGCGCCAGTGATATAAAGCCAATTTCTTACGTACTGATTTCACATCTGGGGGGTCTGTCTCATACGCTACCCCTCAAATGGAACCCACACAAAAATCCCAAGATTCCTAAATCAAATCATTGGAACCTAAAGCAAAAGCAAAAGCCTAGCGCCATTAATGATCCTAGTGGAGTTTGTACGTGGTGGAGCTTCCTTTTCACATATACTGATATCTTTTTTCATAAATCAAATTTCACAAATGCACAAAGAGTTTACAATAAAATAGTCTTCACAAAAAGTTTTCACTCACTTGTATATATATAATCCAACATTATGAGCCTGCTTCTTAAGAATCCCTCTCCACTGTGTACAAAACAAAGCTAGGCTAGCTTAGCTATCCTATATCCCAGAAGAGCCACTCATTCTGGTTTTCTCGAACTCATGGCTCGCGCTCGGGATTTAAGCATGGGTTTGGTGCTTCTTGCTCTGCTAGTATCTTGCTTTCTTGTAGCTTCTGAATCAAGCAATGTGAGTTTATCTTATGCCTCTTTGTTCCGTGCTATGGCCTTCTGGGATTTCTCTTTCTCCCCACGCTGCAAGTTCAGTTTTTTTGTTTCTTCCCATATCTTCTCTCTTCAATTTTGTCCTGCAGGTTTATATTGTGTATATGGGAGACAGAAGCATGAACCTCAATGAACAAGACCTTCTTGAAGATTCTCACCTTCACATACTGTCAAACATTCTCGGAAGGTTTTCAATCCCTTGTTCTTTTGTACAATGACTTTTTTTTTTTCCCCAAGAGAGAGAGAGATTGAGAATAACCAGTATCAAGCTACAAGTAAACCTTTTCTCTTATTCTGTTTTCGTTAATCTCCATGCTTAATTACTTTGACAGAAGTAAGGAAACACATTTGAAGAGTTTAGCCACCTGCTCTTTGTTGAATATGGAGTAGATACTAGTATAAACTTGGCCCCTTAACACAATTAGTCACTTATAAATAAACAAGCAAGTCATAATAATAACAGTGAAATAGAATTTTATAATCTGTTATTTTTATCATTGTTAACAGCAAAAGAGCTGCTAGGAACTCCATTCTGTACAGCTACAAACATGGATTTTCAGGATTTGCTGCTGTTTTAAGCCAGTCTCAAGCTAAACTCGTTGCAGGTATGGCAATGTTTGGGTTCATATATCAGAATTTGAAGATCAATAGTATGAAAACCTTTTCACTCTTTTTTTTTTTTTTTCCTGATAATCAAGTACGGAACTGAAATGGTTGAGACTAGACTCGTATGGCGGTCTGGCTTTCTTGTTGCATTCATTAATTGGCCCATAAATGCTTGTGACAAGTGCCAGAGCAATGCGCATGATAGTGATGTTTATGAAATGTAACTTTGAACAATTAATAAGACTTTCTATATATGCATTGTATTACTTATATCATACTCTCTCCAGTCTTATTTATAAAATCTCAAAATTTGAATTGATTTTGTCATTTTTGTAAGATCCCACTGAAGATTGTCTGAACATTAAATGCATTTTCACCAATTTTGCTACTAATTAATTTTCTATTATCTTTCCCCTTTATCTCACAACTGGTATTTCTCTTTCTTATCTGCTCCCTCATTAAATAAAGGCATACTTGAAAAAAAAAGAGGTTTAATTTGTATATATTTATTCTTTTTAACTAATTTTAATTGTTTTCTTAAACGGCATAATTTAATTAATAGGATTTTATAAAAGAGACTGGAGGGAGTATTGAAGAACACATTGGCTAAATATGCTTGCTTTGCATACACTAGGAAAACACTTTCTGAGGTCTGGTGAAGTCTCTTCTTAAGACTGTGGTCCACGTTGGAAATTTAAAAGTCTTAAATTAATGCCGGTGATTCTTTCTTACTTGAAGTAGCACTCTTCAATTTTTTCATAATAATGATATGGTGTACTTTGAAATTTGAATTTCCTCCTTGAACGATATTTTAGGTACAGAATTTAATAGTTTAGTTAATGCAGATTTTCCAGGAGTTGTTCATGTAATTCCAAACAGAATTCTCAGTTTGCACACAACTAGAAGCTGGGATTTCTTGAGTGTAAAGCCAGATATTGTGAATGGAATTCTTTCAAAGTGTAAATCTGGAAAGGGCACTATCATTGGCATCTTGGACACTGGTCAGTATCAAAGATCCCAACTTCAGAACATGTAGACAAAACATAATCTGATGTCTCTCCATATAATTTTTAGTGTCGTATCACATTTAATGTGATTTTCCGGTACTTGATAGTTCATAACCATTTAACCATATCTTAGCTCAATCCTGTTAAGACCCAACTAAATCTAGCCATTAGATTAATAACTAAGTAAGTGGGATCGATCAAACAATTGGTGTATATGAAATTGTTAAAGATGCATATGATCAAGTATGATTATGATCTTTCCATTGTCGGGTTTGCAGGCATATGGCCTGAGTCAGAGAGCTTTAGGGATGAGAATATGGATAATCCACCTTCTAGTTGGCGCGGCATATGCCAAGCAGGAGAGAATTTCAGCCACTCCCACTGTAATAGGTCGGTTTGAAACATCCTTCTTAATCGCTTTCATGCTCACTTTTTGTACACATATCAGGATTTTTTAATGGTAACATTATTCAAATAACGTAATTGGATATATACTGTTTAAATTTAATCGTCCAAGGGGCTCTAAATTCAATATAAACGTTACATATATCCAACACTTGGATGAGACACAGCTTAAAGCCTGCACGTTACACACACGTACTTAATATTGCCTCTTATGGCACTGTCAGACATATCAGTGTCATTTTTTCAGCTTTAAACAGTGTCATGTGATACGTTACCAGGAAAATCATTGGAGCTCGCTGGTACTACAGAGGCTATGAAGCTGAATTTGGGAAATTAAACACAAGCGATGGATCCGAATTCCTATCGCCACGAGACGCATCGGGCCATGGCACTCACACTTCATCAACAGCAGCAGGAGCATCAGTAGAGAATGCAAGCTTCATGGGACTAGCAAAAGGGTCAGCAAGAGGAGGTGCTCCTTCAGCTCACTTAGCTATCTACAAAATCTGCTGGTCTAATGGAGCTTGCAGCTCAGCTGATCTTCTTGCAGCATTTGATGATGCAATATTTGATGGGGTTAATGTTCTTTCTGTGTCTCTGGGATCATACCCTCCACTTCCTACTTATGTTGAGGATGTTTTGGCCATAGGATCTTTTCATGCTGTTGCTAGAGGAATTTCTGTGGTGTGTTCTGGTGGCAATTCTGGACCTTACCCTCAAACTGTCATAAACACTGCCCCTTGGATTCTTACTGTAGCTGCTAGCACTCTTGATAGAGCATTTCCTTCTATAATTACCTTGGGAAACAATCAAACCCTACAGGTACTTCATCTTTGAAATGTCCTATCAGGTCTTGCACAAATGTCTGACGCATTTTAAACACAGATGGATAACATACTCAGTTTTCATTTAAACGTGTATCTTCTTTATGGATATAATCTGGTTTTTGACAACGGTGTTCACAATTCACAAGTGTGCATGCTTCATAGTATTATACCTTTTGCAGTGTGCAGACCCAGAACAATATTTTGTTTCCTTATATAGGGTCAGAGTTTATATACAGGGAAGGACGTGAACAAGTTTTACCCCATTGTGTATGGAGAAGACATAGAATCTGAAGATTCGGATGGAGAAAGCGCAAGGTAGAACAAAAATGCCTTATTAGAGAAATGAGATTTATAACTAAGCATATATGTACGTATGAATTCAGATTCTGGGCATTACTTAAGAAATTAACGCCATAACATACAGTCAAAAAGAGATAGGAATGAGTAGAGTATGATATATAATCGTATATTTTGCGCAGAAGCTGTGAAGCGGGAAGCCTGAATGCAACATTGGCTAAAGGAAAAGTAATTGTGTGTTTCCAATCTGGATCACAGAGATCAGCCGTGGGTGCTATAAGAACCGTAACGGAAGTCCAAGGTTCGGGTCTCATCTTTGCTCAGTTTCCTACTAAAGATGTTGCTTTGTCT